AGTTTCTCCTTCTATTTCTATATACAAAGAAAAAGGCTCAAGTGCCTTATTTTTTAAAAATTATTAAAAAAATATTTTAAAATTATATTATTTCAATAAATTTTTATTGAAAACTAAAATATCATATTTTTAAAATATAAATTAGATTTTTTTTTTGTCTTTTCACATGATATATGTTTTATTAAAATAACATACTTTTAAGGTAATTTTTTTAATTTAAAAGATAAGATTATCTATTATCAAATTAATTAAAATGATTGTTTAGAGTAATATATATGTGCGCATGTCAACTAGGAGACTTTCCAATTTTGATTTTTTTTATCTATTGTTGGGGTATTTTTAAGGTAATTTTTACATATTTTAAAGATTAGATGATGGTACAACCTCTATATCGATGTGGTACATTTAAGTAAATTAATCTTAATGTTTAGATTTTAAATATAATTTATAAAATAATATTTACTTATCAATAGATTTAATTTTTAGACTTTCAAATTTTGATTAATGTTTATATAATATACACCCTCCTTTCATTTTGTGGGATTTACAGGGTAAGAGAACCCTTCAGTGGCTTTACAGGTAAGGGATCTGTTTTTCATTTTTAATAACTAATCCAATGAAAATGGTCCATATCAGAAATAAACCCAAAAATGAAAGGCAATCTCATTGACCACGTAAGGTCATTTTTATATGTTCTTCATGCCCGCAACTTCAAACATTGACCACAGCCATAAAATTGGCCTGAAAAGGATTGAAGGAGCCTGTCACAAGAAATTAAGAAAGGCCGCGGCTCTAAATAAATATATACATATATACACACCCACACACATTAGTCTTCCAATATTCATTCGCGAGAAAACGCCAGTTCTGCCGTGTCCACATTTAATTTACATATATGTGCAGTTGCTGGTGCCTAGTAGGAGTCTATAGTTACCCATTTTGACCCCATGCTAGATATAAATTAGCAGCTACCCACCACGACCTGCTTAATATATACATATAACTAAACTTTTCACTTTAGCATCAAATTTGTTTTTTAATTTTAAAAAATATCAAAATTATTTTTAAACTTTAATTTTTGATATCAAAACAGTCTTTCTGTCAGTTAAATGACAGAGGACACGTTAAAATGCCACAAAATCAATTCTTTTTTTTGCTTGGCTAATGACATGAAAAAAAAAAACACAGTTGGCTATCTTTTTTATATGAGTTGGTATTTTTATTTAATTTAAAATTTTTGATATCTTTTTTTTTCATCAACGTCATCTCTTCTTCCTCTTTCACTTTCTCTCTCCTTTACCTTTCCTTTTCCCTGCCTCTGCAAACCCTAAAACTCGAAGCTTAGCATCATCGAGTCTGGTTTGGGTCATAATACATTAAAGATGTGTTGAAAATTCGTAATTATTTTCAATACCTGCTATGTTTGTTGTGATTATAGTGGAAAATCTTTCAGCTTTAACCTTTTTTTTTTTTTTTCTTTCTGGAATTTCGAATTTATGTGTTTCTATTTAGTTTGGTTTAAGTGTGTTTGAATTGTGGATTTTTCTACGTAGTAAATCATGGAATCAGCCAAGAATTCATGGACGAGGTGTTTGCATAAAGCAAAAGGTTGTTTTCCAATTACAGATCTGGGTTTTCTCTCACAAACTTCATCTTCTTCCTCCTTTCCTCCTCGATAGTTTTGCCTCATCATTCTCTATCAACCTTCCTCCTTCCTTTCCCTGCTCATCCTTCTTCTTTCTTCATCTTATTCTTTCTCTCTCTCTCTTCTCCCTTCTCCCTCTCAAACCCAGATCTGGGTCCCATCTCGACATTTTTACCTACCAATTGTCAAACTCTCTTCATCAAACTACTCTTTCGCCCCTCTACAAATTCATGATCGCCGGACCCATTTTTCCTTATTGGCACAAACCTTCATCCTCTCCGCCATTCAACCTTTCTCCCATCTCAGACTTTTGATTTTGCTATCACCTCCACACTACTACACCTCAACGAAACCCACGAAACCAACACCCACACCATTGACCATGGCTGGCAAAAGGTCACCTATGCCAAGAGGCAGCGGAAGGCCAAGCCGAATGCAGATGTGGGAGACGCAATTCAGATGGCGATGATGATGAGGATGAGGATGGCGGTCTCAAAGATTCGAAGGAGAACGAAAATGCAAAAGAAGTTAAGAAGTTGAAGCAGAATAAGCCGAACCCAAGGTCAGTGACGTGGAGGTCGCCGCCAAGGTCACTGCCAAGGTCGATTCACCATAGATCCAAATATTCATGGGTACCTCTAATTTGAGTTATCAAGGGAGAACCCACACAGATCTGGAAGGAAAAAGTGGAGGAAGAAGAAAGGGGGGAGAGAAAGAAGAAGAAAAAGGTAGGAGGAAGGGGGAAGAGGAGGAAGGGGCAGTGGGATGAGAGAGAAGAAGGGAGGAAGAAGAAGAAGAATAATGCAATAATAAATTATGTGGATTTTTATTTAAATAGAAAAAAACACATGGAAAAAAAAAAAGCCATCTCATCACCTTTTGCATGGTGTGTTATTCCACGTAATTATTATTTTTATAAAAATGTGATTTGGTGGCATTTTAACTGCTAATTGTCCATTTAATTGACGAAAGGAGTATTTTGGTATCGAAAATAAAAGTTTAAAGGTGATTTTGATGTTTTTTAAAATTAAAAGATAATTTTAATATCAAAATAAAAAGTTGAGGAACCAAAATGGTACTTAAACCTATCATTAATGCCCTCCCCACTTAAAATGAAAACTTGTCGCATGAATTTGCTTGACTATGTTTATTTCGTAACTCGCATAAAAAGGGTTACGACCCAAAAAATCATGAAATAAGAAGGTTATAAGCCTATTTCTCTAACTTGCAAGCTTTTTTGACTAGTAACTCGAGACAAACCAGTCCGATCCTCCTATATGTCATGTCTAGTTTTAACAGAAAAACGTCCACCCTACTCCTCACCTCTTTCAAAAAATGTGTTACAATTTTAATCATACAATTTAAATTATTAAATAAATACAAAAATTTTTACATTAAAAATGATTTTTTTTATTTAATAATTTTTTAATTATAATTTTTTTTATCAAAAACGTTTTAAAATCATAATAAATTAAGATTATTTACTTTCGATGAATTACACATACAAAACTCACAAAATTCTTTCCCCTTCCCCCAATCAACCCTGCAAATAATTTCAGATTGTTAAAAAAAAAAATTCATAAAGACATAAAAATTGACAAAATCAAAAACGTGACGTGACATAAAGTATGATCTATAACTTTTTTTTTTACTGAAAGATCTTAAGAAGATCTTACAGTCGTGGTGCTGCAGTCGGTGGCTGGCCAAGACAAAAATAATAAAATAAAATAAAATAAAATAAACAAAAATTAGATCTGATAGTCGAGGTACTGCAGTCGATGACTGGCCAAGACAAAAATAATAAAAGAAACAAAAATTACTGGTTGGTGGAAGTGTATTTTATTTATTTATTTTTTTTTATTTTAGTTTTTGGTGGGGGTAAAACGTGGATGGATGCAAGAGTTCACAAAGAAGGGACTTTAAAAAAAATAAAAAAAAGTGAAATGTGTTTCTAAATAGCGCATGTAAGACATCTGTATTCAATTTGAAAAACCACCTGTCGTCAAATGCATTGCTTTTATGTTCTTGGTGAAGATAGGCAACCAAATAGTGCTTATAATGCTTTAAAAAGTATTAGCATGATGAGATATCACTTCAAATCTCTCCAATGGACTTATTCTTCATTGAATTTTTTTTTTTTTTGGCGTCTTGATATTGAGAAATTTCCTGGGTTTTCTTGCAAGAAAAGTGGGAATAGTTGGATTTTAATGTCGGACTATATACGGCGGTTAAAAAATGTACAACTTGAACTAAATAGATGTATCTATCACGGAACTCACAACTTATAAATTGGCGAGTTTAGTACCAATCTTGCATTCAGCAAAGATACTCAAGAAACTCTCTGCATCGAATTTGATCCATTAGTTTTCATCTTCATATTTAATTTTCCTACATGGAGTTGGAAAACATTGCAGAGTTTCTTGAGGACAGAACCATATTAGTCACGGGGGCAGCTGGGTTTTTGGCTAAGAGTACATATCTCTCTTTCTCTTAAGCATGTGGTTGATTGAATTAATGTGTTTGTTTTGTGTTATGAAAGTTATAATGATTTTGTTCTGTCTCTAGTTTTCATCGAGAAGATACTGAGGACTCAACCAAATGTGAAGAAGCTCTATCTTCTATTAAGGGCTAAAGACACAAAAGCAGCCACAAAACGCCTGCAAACTGAGGTATATGTGTTAATTAGTACAGCTTTTGTTCCTAAGTTTAATGTTATACAGATATATGTTAGTGCTTTTGATTTTTCTGGATAGAAGAAAGAAAACTAATGTTATCAGATTTAATGTTGATTAATTCTGTGTAGATCATGGGGAAAGAATTGTTTAGAGTTCTTCGAGACAGATGTGATTCGAGTTTCAATCCCTTGATATCATCAAAGGTGACAGCAGTAGCTGGTGATATTTCTTCCGAAAACTTGGGAGTGGTTGATATGAACTTGAGAGAAGAGATGTGGAGAGAAACAGAAATAGTGGTAAATGTTGCAGCCACTACAGATTTCTATGACAGGTATATAAATCAAGAATTATTACCATATAATAGTCACATGTTAAATGAATCAACATGCCCTGTAAAAACTTTGTTTTATGTTAGTGTTTTGACACTTTTTTGCACTTTTTTTTTTAAGATATGATGTTGCATTGGGCATCAACACATTTGGACCTCTCAATGTTATGAGCTTTGCCAAGAAATGTGAGAAAATTAAGATGCTTCTTCATGTATCAACCGGTGAGTATACAAATCTTAATTGTGTCACATGTTCCTACTACAGAACCATAAATTAAGAACAGTGAACTAAGTTGGTTTTGTATACATTTGATTATTTTTCAGCCTATGTGTGTGGAGAAGGAGTGGGACTTATACAAGAGAAGCCATTTTACATGGGTGAGACCCTCAAAAAAGCATCTAACTTAGACATTTTTGAAGAGAAGAAAGTGATGGAGGAAAAGTTAAACCAACTTCAGAAGCAGAACCTTAAAGATGAAACAGTTTCTTCTGCTATGAAAGAATTTGGTCTCAAAAGGTTCTCTAAAAATAACATATTCTCCTTAAGTTCATATACAAAACAGAACATTGTATGCATATCCTTTGCTGAAAAGTGTGCCTATTTTTTCTCTCCAATATACAGGGCAAATATCTATGGATGGCCAAATACATATGTATTCACGAAGGCAATGGGAGAGATGCTTTTAGGGCATTTTAGAGGTGACCTGTCTCTCGTCATTATACGTCCCACCATGATAACTAGTACTTACAAAGAGCCTTTCCCAGGTTGGATTGAAGGTTTGAGGTAAGTAATTAGCAATTACCCTCAGATTCAAGCTGAAGCAACAATTTTCTATTCCCGTTCCTTTATTGTTGACTTCTCCTTTGTCATCTGTTCTTAATAGAACTATAGACAGTGTGATTGCGAGCTATGGCAAAGGGAAACTGGGATGTTTTCTTGCCAATCCTAAGTCAGTCCTTGATTTGGTGGGTGAACGTTTGAACTCCATGATTCTTTTATTGTCCTAGTACATTACCTTAGGCGTTAAGGTGATGCAAAGCCCTAACTTTATTAAGTCATGCAGATACCAGCAGACATGGTGTCAAATGCGATGATAGTTGCTATGGTAGCTCATTCAAATCAACCCCTTGATCTGATCATTTATCAAGTTGGCTCCTCACTAAGAAATCCAGTGACCTTCTCAAACGTTCGCGAGTTTACCACCCGTTACTTCTCTGAAAATCCATGGACTAATCGAAATGGGGAGACTGTTAAGGTTGGAAAGGTTACAGTACTAAGCACCATGCCTAATTACCTCATGTACATGACAGTTTGGTTTCTGCTACCATTGAAGGTTTGAAACAGGCTTAATTCTACTATATATATACATTTAGAAGCTTCTTCTTTCCTTTTTCTCATCATTACTCATATTTCTTTCTGCCTTTTCTTTCATTTGAAGGGTCTACATTTGGTGAATACAATTTGTTGCCAATATTATAGGGAAGTTTATACTCGTCTTGATCAGAAAATCAAACTGGTAATGAGATTAGTAGGACTTTACAAACCCTATGCTTTCTTCAAGGGCATGTAAGTATGC